ATTCACCGTGAGCTACTACAAGATCTTGTATATATTTCCCTGTGCTATATAGTATAAACTTATTTATCTGTTCCGTATATACCTGTCAGTATCTACAGATCTTGAACTCCCAGTCTGTCCCTTCCCACCATCCTTCCCCCTTGCAACCACAAGTTTGTATTCTATGTCTGTGAGCCTATTTCTGTTTCATATTTAAGTTCATTTGTCTTCTTTTTTTTTATTTTTTAGATTCCACATATGAGTGATATCATATGGTATTTTTCTTTCTCTTTCTGGCTTACTTCACTTAGAGTGACATTCTTCAGGGACATCCATGTTGCTGCAAATGGTACTCTCCATTTCTTTTTATTTCCATACGCATGAATTATCTTTTTCCTTTCCTTCATTTTAAGTCTGTATGTGTCCTTTCTCCTGCAGTGAGTCTCTTATAGGCAGCATATAGATAGGCCTTGCATTTTAATCCATTCAGTCACTTTGTGATTATTGAATTTAGTCCATTTACCTTAAAGTAATTCTTGATAATCATGTACTTTTTGCCATTTTGTTAATTGTTTACTAGCTGTTTTTATAGTTCCTCTCTATTCCTTTCTTTTTCTCTTTTTCTCTTCTCTTGTGTTTTATTTTCTTTAGTATTATGTTTAGATTCTATTCTCATTTTCTTTTGTATATTTACTACAAATTTTTTTCTTGTGGTTATCATGAGATTCACATATGACATCCCGTTTAAGTAATAAGCTGTTATAAGTTGGTAGCAACTTAAGTTTGAACACATTCCAGAGCTTTATGTTTTTACTGTTCCCCCATAAACTTTTTTACTCATGATGACACATTTCACATTTTTTATTTTATGCATCCCTTCCCTAATTATTATATTTTTAGTTATTTTTACCTATTTGTCTTTTAATCTTTATGCTTGCTTTATAAGTGATTGAGTCCACTACATTAATATATATTTATCTTTCCCAGTAAAATGTTTTGCTTTTGTATGTTTTCTTACTATTAATTAGTGCCATTTCTTTTTAGCTTAAAGAAATCTCTTTAATATTTCTTGTAGGGCTGGTTTAGTGGTGATGAGCTCCTTTAGCTTTAGCCTATCTGGGAAAATCTTGATCTCTTCTTTAATTCTGAGTGATAATTCTTGGTTGGAAGGTTTTTTTCCCCTTGAGCACTCTGCATATGTCATCCACTTCCTTTGGCCTGTAGTTTCTGCTGAAAAATCTATGATAGCCTTATGTAGTTTCTTTTTGTATGTAACAAGGTATTATTCTTCTGCTGCTTGTAGGAGATGCTCTTTATCCTTAACTTTTTAAATTTTTCATTCTAATGTGTCTTGGTGTGTGTCTCTTTGAGTTCATCTTATTTGGAACTCTCTAGGCTTCCTGGACCTGGATGTCTGTTTCTTTCCCCAGATTAGGGAAATTCTCATCTACTATTTCTTCAAATAATTTTTCTGGCTCTTAATCTCTCTCTTCTCCTTCTGGGATGGAAGGCTTTTCAGGATGCTGAGGATTCCAGTGCAAGAATGTGCTTAAAAAGAAAATAGATAAAATTCTATATGCCTATAAATCAACAATTTTAAGGGAGCTTTTATCTGTACTTTTTGTTTGTTTTCATGAAACAGTGGAGGCACTCCATTTGGGGACATTAATGGCTGCCCATGGCTACTTCTTTCCAATCTCGGATCATGTCCTCACACTCAAGGATGATGGCACCTTCTACCGGTTTCAAGTAAGTTTAATAAAAATATGCTATACCAGTAACATACAGTTCTGCATTTTGATTATTTTTACAGAAATTTTGAAAATTATATTTTACTTTGACTTTAGTTAGAATCTAATTAATGAGCAATTTGTGAAAGCTAAATTGTGTGTTGATTAAAGTTATATTTTAGATAAAAAGCTTGAGAAAAATTCAGTGATTTAATGGAATTAAAGGGGAGGATTTCATCTTTCATTTACATTTAGCTACTAGGAAAGAAGTTGAGGGACCTAACTAAAGTTATTATACTCTGGACCCTGCACAATCCAGAGCCACCTGCAGTCCAAGCAAACACTCATGTGAACACTTGAAGATCAGTGGTAGAATTTAGCTAATAAATACAAATCTTCTACATGTCTGAGACCTTCTACAAGTCTGTGAAGACTGACATGCCTGATGCTTTGTATGGACATCTGAGACAAGAGGACACCTTAGATAACTTGTAAACTGACAAGAGTTCTTCTAGGTCATTTTCAAATGAGACAGATGCCTTTATTCTTTCAGGAAATGATTGTGGACTCCCTTTGGTCATTGAGCCTACAGTTGACACTTGAGATCACAGTGATTTACGGGAAGTGTATTCTACATTTCATTAGACATTATGGTTCATTAGTAACTGACTAGTGGATAATGGCATATAAAATTAAGGCACAGAGCAGCTTCAAAATGGCAGAATAGAAGGACATGGAGCTCACCCTCTCCCACAAATACATTAAAAATACATCTACATTCTGGAGAAAAGGAGAGACTGGTTTTAAAGAGCTTTAGAACAAAGCAAGGGGGTGGGTGCAAATGTTAAATTAATTACATCACTACTAGATACAGGCAGAACATTATCAAGTTCAGTATGCCTAAATCAATGATAGATGATGATCTTTTAAATTACATAAATTAATGTTAAATATTAAATGTTAAATATTTTAATGATACATCCACATTTGAAATAGGATCTATATATGACATAACTGTACATCTAATAACTATACAATCTTAAAACCAAGATTTAAAAAACAAACAAAAGAAAATCCAGAAAACTCAAGGATAATTGAATTCCTGCTTCAATGTCTACCAGAGCATTAATCAGTCTATATTTGAAAAGCTCCAATAATAGAGAACTACTTATTATTCAGAGTGCTCACATCCATGTTTGTGTTGGCTCCAAGCAGGATTAAGTTCTTTATTACATTGAAGTGAAATTCAGCTCCTTGGAAGGATTTTTAAAATCATGAATTAAAATAGGAAACTTGCAATATTGTGTTTACAATTCCTCCAACGAGTGATTGAGAGTCTAATTATCATTAGAAATCTGAAGAAGCTTCGGGGCATGAATGTGTCTCAAACAGAATTGACTGGCACGCTGCAGTGTGTAAGTTTGTCTCAATTTTTCAGTTGTGATTTTTGTACTTACTGTACATTTACAATGGTGTAATTATCCCCTCTTAACTGAAATTGAAATCTGACATGATTATCCAGGTTACTTTCATGACTTTCATCACATTAGTATATGTGCCAAAGATTACTTAGTGATGGCTAGGTAGTTTGGGATCAGTTTCATAGCTAAAGAAGCCAACTCTGAAAGACAGAAAAACTCATTCATTAAAATGTCCTAAAGTCTAGTTGAACTGTAAAAGTAAATTTTTAAATTCCAACAGACCATAAGGGTTTGTTATTCTTTAAATTATCTTTTACTATAAATCAAAATATTCTTCCTAGAAAAAAAATTGCAATATTAGTGAAGAGCATTGATTTTATGCCATTTCCACATAGTTTCACAGGATAAAATAGCTTCATTCATCTACTTTTACAGTCAGGAAACTTTCACTAAAGCGAATGATAGGAAAATAAAGAAAAATTGTAAGAATGCAGCTGAAAACATTTCTGGTGGTTTTGAGAAAAAAAGTATGTATATACTGACTAGAGTATATATTTTAAAATTAGACAAAAAGATATGCACGCATGTGCACACACAGAGAAACACACTCATCTCCTAAAATAAAGAAGCAACCCAAAGGGAATAATGCATTCTATGAGAAGTATCTCAGAAACCAGCATCTACATGAAATGATGATTTTAAGTACTTTGTTTCTCTGTGGTTTCCCTAGAGTAGTGACCCAATTTTACCCTCAAAGCTCCATCTCGCAAGGAGTTAAGTGGGATTCAGTTGCAAGGAGAGGGTGCTGTTTAAAGCCTTGATACCCGCTTTTATCTAGTGTTTCAACTTTCTTACCCGCTAATTTCTTCTGTCACTTTGTTCACATAGATACAAAACTAGTATGAGTAGCCTTCTTTATGACACTGGAGCAATTCCCAAGGAAGAGAAGGGGGTATATCAAATCCCCTGGGGGTCCTGAGTAGTTTGGAATGACTCTTTCTCAAAGATTCAAATAGTTCTCCCCAGTTACCCATTTCCTCTCCGTGTGAATCCCTCCTCTAGAAGGTAGAATTATCAAACAGGTAATCAGAGATTACCTCACATATGCGTGTTCTATGCAAATTGTTCATATAATTGACTAATAAGTATAATTAAGCCCGCAAGGCTGATGTCTGCAGTCACTGGTCCATTGAAATGCCAGAGTCATCATCATCCAAGGAAACAGTCTGAAAGAGTAGACAGGTAGTCATGGAAATTCCTCAGGGTCCAGAGCCAAGCGTGTCCAGCTAGCAGGGCTGGAAAAACCCCATTAGAAAATATGAAATGCTGACGATAGTAATTGGGTTTTCCCGATAAGACATTTTCTCTGTAGTGTCATCAGTCATTTTCAACAATTTCACCGAATTATATTTGTCTATTGTTAAGCAATCAACTAAGACACTATTAGCTATTTTTGTATTATATTTTAATTAACCTTTTTATTGAAGTATAGTTAATTTACAATATTGTGTTAGTTTTAGTAAAGGACATCATTAGTTTTTTTAAAAAATGATCTCTGACTTGTGAAATTTAAATATTTAGAGCAATAAGTGTCTCTATGAACAAATTTTTTTTAAGTGACAGGGAAAGGTTGTTTTAATCTAGTTAGATAATGTTGAGAGCTGCATTATATTATTAATAGAGCCAGGGAAATGATTTCCAGATCTTAAGGAAAGATTCTGACAGTTGAGCTTCTGGATCTACTGAGGGCAATGATGAAATACATGAATCATGAAAAATAATTTGCTGTGTTTAAATAAATTTCATCATGAGTCTTATTGAATATAATACTCTTCTTTCAGTCTTCATGAATTAACAGTTTTTGTTTGAATAATGCAATCAGTCATTCTACCTTTATGTCAGTTGATATAAAATTGTAGCAAATGTACACAGTTTTAAATATCTTCTGATTCTGCACATATTTGGAGGCTGAACAATTGCTTAGTAAAGTAAATGTCAAAAAAAAGCCTTATAGTTCCCCGCTGGGTACTTTTTCTGGATTATATAACATACATTGTTAGCAAACTATTCTAGATAATTGATGAAAATAAACATAGCTCATAAACCAGGAACTCCACTAATTCTTTATGTGCCTAACCTAGGTTCCACTTTTTTTTCATTCTGCAGACACCCTATTTTTGGCCATCAAATTGTTGGGAGCCGGAAAACACAGACTATGGTCAGTGCAATATCTCCTCATTTTATTATTAACACCCAGTATTTATGGATGAACACACATGCTTGCATTTTATTGTTTGTCACTGAGAAAAGAAAACCACAATTCTCAGTATGGGACTAATATTTCTAACATTGAATTTATGAATGGCCTTGTTTGGAAAGTCACCAAATCTGGTGGCAGCTTTTTCCATGTTATAGTGGCCCCTGCGACTATTTAAATAAAAAAAAGTTTTATTCTGAATAGATTAACAAGTTGTAAACAGGCTTGAAAGGGTTATTATTATTTTTCTATAGCACTTTGGTCTGCTAGAAAGAGCAGCAAAGGGGCTCAGAGAGCCCGAATTTTAGTTCACCTCTCCCCGTTAGCTGTGATTTGTGGTAAGTCCCTTGCCTTTCCAGATTCCATTTTTCCCACTATTATTTGAGGCATCCTATGATTTTGTAAGCAGATGGTTGTGTTAAACATGGAAAGGCCAATTGCAAGCAAAATAAAAGATACAGCAGGAAATTTAATCATAGTGAATCAGGTTCAGTCAACTTAGTCTAAGTTGACTGAACCTGATTCGGCAGACGTGATTTTAGTTAAGCTCTTCCAGAAACTGGGCCCCTTATAAGTAGTCATCTTCTTACATCTTCCTGAAAGCTACAGTTTTCAAAGACAATATCACATGGTTTTCGAATGTCATTTCTACAAATATTTATTAAGGATTTGTTCCGTAGCCAAGTGCCGTCGTAGGTGCGGGGATAACAAGGAGACTGAGTTCATCTACACTGTTGGGTAATTCATAGACTAGATGAGAAGAGAGAATTATACAGAAGGAGTTGCTGTGAGGTGCTCAGTGAATACAGCAGTGATATGTGTAAAATATCTGGAAGCTTAAAGGAATGAGAGAGTGACTTCATTTTTCCAAAGTGATTTCACAAAAGAGCGGAGGGCATTTGAGTTGGATTTTAAAGAAGGAGGGGAGGTTTTGCAGGAAACAAGGCAGGGAAGGATTTGAAGCAGGGGGCCAGCATATTCAAAGACAATGAGAAACTTCACGGAAATCTGACTTTGGCCTTGCTCCTGGAGAGACATTTTGTAAGAAAACCATAGGAAAGTCCTTAGAAAACCAATGGAGTTTTCCTTCATTTCTGTCATTTCAGAAACTTAATTTCAAGTTCATCCAAAGGTGACCAGGTGCCAATCAAAGATTCAAACTAACATAACTTATGGAAGACAATCCAAAGCCAGGATACTTATTGATTAATAGAGAGAGTAGGTGATTCATTTCCAGGAGTGGGGATGTTGATATTTTCTTCATCCCAGGCACACATTCTTCAAAACTGAGGCACTTAGAGAAAGACGATAATTTAAAACAAAAACAAAAAACCTGCTGATTTGTGGATCTGAGTTGGAGAACTTTGCAGAGTATTTTGTCCAGCCTGGGATGTTACCTGGGCATTATTTCACCAAAGAGTATGAATGTCTAGTGGAGGAAACACTTGCACAGCTGGGAAGCAGCTCATGGAGAAAACCCAGGTGTTGGAGGGAGGCAGACCTAACCTCGGATACTGTCGCGATGGCGCACCAACTGCGTGACTTTGGTGCGAGCCATGTAACATATCTGAGCATCAGTCTGCTCTCTTTTCAGACAGAAATAATAATACTGACTTTCTAAAGTGGTTGAAATAATCCAAATTAACAAGTATTGCTCCTCTCACACTTAATGAATCAAAATTGTTTTCACTTACCATCATTATTGACTGACAGATACACTGCCTCTGTTCCTCGCAGAAAAGCAAATTCTTATCCTCAGTGTTTGCTCTGTCTATCTTTTGTGTTCTTCACAAATATGTTAGTGTTCACAACTGCAGTTCATGTTTCATGCACAGTAGATTAATGTTTCAGTGGTAAGCTTGAGGAAATGGCATGGCTTACATAGAAAACCATTTACAGAACATCCCTCAGAGTCCGCCATCTCAAAATTATTAATGTCATTCAGGTTCACATGAACTCTTCATTGGTGTCCATTTCAGAGGGAATTATCTTCTAAACTTTCTCCCCAAACCTGGAGAGCTTGCAATTTTCAGCTAAAAATAGGCGTAGTCTTTATTTTTATATTTGTTTCCCCCCTGACTAAACATAAATCTGTTCATGTCTCGGTTGCTTGTATCCTATACAAGTGAAGAATAAAATAATTATTCAATAAGAGGTTATGGAAAAAAAAGAAAAGAAGTGAAAAAATAATGATCTCAGACACTGTACCACTCCTGCAGGCAATGATGTTTTGTCTTCTGTGATTTTTCTTTTTAGGTGCAAATAAGTTATAGCAGCAATTCAAATTATCCAACTTTGAATTTCCCACCGCCATTTGTTTAAAGAACATTTGTGAAGCATGGACACCTGCTTATAAAAAGGGTGTTGATACTGTGATGTCGTGAGGTTGTGAGGCCCACCCAAAGCACAGAGATTACTTAGGATGTCTTTTCTAAGACAGCTTGGGGCATACAGGAATGGATTGCTTCAAGCAGTTTTAAAAAATGGTTTATTTTATTCTATCAGCATCCAATGTCTGTTTCCATCATCCATTTCAACTTACGAGGTAGCTTCTGCAAAGCATAAACCTCCATAGGTGAGTTTATATGGAGAAACGCTTTCCCATGGTTTCCTTGGTTTTGTAGAAAAATAGAATATGTTGATCATGTTTAATGGTCTATCTGTGTCTTTATAGTTAAAGTGAGTTTCTTATCGACAGCACATAGTTAGACCTATTTTGTTCTATGTTCTCACAGCCTTTGTCTTTTAATTGTTATATGTAGACCATTCTGATTTAAATTATTAATATTGTTGGATTAATATATATCATATTGGTAGCTGTTTTCTACTCATTTCCCTTTTTCTTTGTCTCTATTTTTTATTTTTTAGCATCCACCCTTTTTCTGCCATCACTGATTTTAACAGAGCATTTTATATGATTTAGTTTTCTCCTCTAAGTATATTAATTTATACTTTTTTATAAATTTTGAAGATTGCCCTAGAGTTTTAAATGAAAATTTGATGTCATTCTTATCCTTTATCCTCTACATGTAAAGTGTTCCATCCTATCCCTACCCCAGCATCTTTCAAGGTTTTCCCTTTGTCTTTGATTTTCTGCATTTAGAATAAGATGTATCTGGGTACAGAGTTTCGGGCATTCCTTATGCGTGGTGTTGTATGAGCTCCCTGGATCTGTGGTTTAATGTATGTGTTAGCTTGCTAGGTGACTTAAACAGGAGCAACAACAAAATTTTTCTCCCAGTTGTGGGAGTTGGACACCCATGACTCTGGTGCTGGCAGGTCTGCTTTCTCCTAGGCCTCTCCCCTTGTCTCGCAGAGGCCACCTTCTTGCTGTGCCCTCTCATAGCGTTTTCTCTATGCATGCAGATCCCTGGTGTCTTCTCTTCTTATAAAGACTCCCATCATATCGGATTAAGGCCTCACCCTTATGACCTCATTTAACTTTATCTCTTTAAAGGTCCTATCTCCAAACACAGTTTCATTCTGAAGTTACTAGATGTTAGGGCTTCAACAGATGCATTTTGTGGGGCCTCTATTTAACCCATAACAATGTTCATTATTAATTTGGTGGAAACTCTTTGTAAATATTACCTCAAGGATTTCTGCTGCTCTTTTCTTTGCCCTCCTTCTGCCATTCCCATTGTGTGTGTGTTATATCTGGTGTGGCTGTTCCACAGCTCTTGGGTATTCTATTCTCTCCTTTTCATACTTCCTTCTCTTTGTATGTCAGTTTTGAAAGTTTCTGCTGATACGTCTTCAAGCTCACTGATTCTTTCTTCAGCCGTGTCCAGTCTGTTGATGAGCCCATCAAAGGCATTCATCATCTCTGTCACAGGGTTTTGATTTCTTGTGATTCTTTTTTGATTTTTTATAAGTCCAGTCTCTTGGCTTACATTACTCATCTGTTCTTGCATGTTATTTGCCTTTTCTGTCGAGCCTTTAGTATATTCATCATAGTTGTGTTTAATTCCACATCTGATCATTCCCACATGGCTTCAGTATCTCAAGTCAGCTTCTCATGCTTGCTGTGTCTTTTCAAACTGTGTTTTCTGCCTTTGAGCAGTGCCTTTTAGTTCTTGTTGAAAGCAGGAGATGATGTACCAAATGAAAGAAACTGAGATCAGTGGGACTTATATGTGAAGTTTCATGTTTACCTTTGTTTACTCTTTGCTGTCGCTGTATGTTTTAGAAGCTAAAATTTCCTCTGGTATGCTTCTTTTGTCTCCCCCATTGACTTTGGTTTCCCTAGATTCTTCTTCTGACATAAGTTCTGAGACATACAGTTGTTGTTTTTTTTTTTTCCTGCTACTTCTGTTACTATACAGAAGCCTTACTGATGCGGTGGTGAGTATGTATGGGGAAGCGTTGTAGAATCCCATGACTAGATCTCAGGTTTTCAGTGAGCTTGTGCCCCTGAGCTGTAACCTTCACAAGTGCCCGTTGGTTGTTTGAGAGTTTTTTTCCCCTTTTAGGTGAGAAGGCACTTGAACTGATTATTTCTCTTCCCCTTGCTGGAAGACGGCCCTGGACTGGGATTGCTATTTCTCTTCCCCTACGCAGTTTAGACTCTGGTATAACCCAGTTTATTAGACTTCATTATTATAGTTTCCCCTGAGGCCAACTTCATAAAAAGGAGCAAAATGTTCCAGCTACATTTCAGAATGGTTACTCTTTCCCTCCTCTTGTGGAAGCACGAGGGAATTTTTCACAGATCCTCACTGTGAGAACCTTGCAGGGCTTCGGTAAAACTCACAAATATGTGGTAGCCCCCCTAAGATTCTCCCCATCTCCTTTTTAATGCTCTGACTTGTTCACACTGAGCCTTCAACAATTAGTCAGTTGCAGTTTCAGTTTTCCTGGCCCCATACTGGTTCCTGTGGAAGTTTCTGCTGTTCGGCTTGTGCTCCAGTGAGCGATGATTCTCTGTATATGCTTGTCTGTCTCTTCAGTTGGGTGAGAGA